AAAATTATAGGCGTCCTCCTTGACCATTGCCGGAACTTCATGTAAAATTTCAAAAAGATCAGCGCGACATTTCTGCCCACTTGCAGGGTAATAGTAATACTAAACAATATCATAACATATATACCTCTTTAACCCTTTGAGCCCCGAATTTTTTTCCGCAATCATGGAGCGATTTTATGTGCGCAGATTGAATCCAACTATCATAAATAGGATATGAGCAAAATTTGACCTTGCTACATCTTTGCGTTCCGGAGATTCAGGACATTCTTTCCCAGAAATAAATGTACAATATCAAGAAAAGCAAACGGAATATCGGCGAAAAAATCACTGAAATTACTCTTTAGGTTGATTTTTTTAAAGAATGACAAATAATTTGGAGGGTACAATTCGTAATATTCGAATACGAAGCGATTTAAATAATTTGTACTGTATACACAAACAGGTACTGTACACATGTTTGCCCTTTTCTTTATATTGAAAAGCGCATAACTTGACCAAACATTTGAATTTTTTAGATTTTACTTTTGATATGTGTCGTCCATAATCAGGTCTTGGCATATTTAATCTAGATGTGTATTAAATATAAGCTCTAAAACATGTTGTTGTCTGTGGGAAACATTGGGCCACAAAGGGTTAAATATTTATGTATAACTCCCACACATCATAAAGGTCAACCACTCCTCCGGGATATGCTATGAACTTCTCCGTCCTATGTACTTCAGAAGTAAATATATCCGCCATAAAAAATGTACTTTTTCATACAAAAGTCTGGGTCCATTTGACCCCCTAAAAATTGATCGATCTTTATCAAAAAAGCCACGTTTATTCATAAGCCAGTGTAAAATTTTATAGTGTTGTAGCCTCTATAGCGACCAGAAAAACAGACAAACAAATTTTGGCCCATTTCATCACCAAAATATTATAGGTGTCTTCTTTGGTCATTACCCTTCCTACATGCAAAATTTCGTGGCGATTGGTCCATAACTGTGGCCTGTATAATGTTTACAAATTATAATGGGCAGACATCGAATCTGCTAGTCGAGATATGATCAAGTATACCGATCAGATGGGTCTAGGATCAATATTTTGCGGTGTTACAAACTATTGGGGCCACACAAAGATATAATACCATTGGAACCTAGTTGTATAGAGTTTTAGAGCTCTAACGCCATTCAAGGTATCTTAAAGGTCATAGATCTATTATCCAGAAAATATGCAATGTAGATATATATTTTAAACTTAAAAATATTTTTTTTCGTCTTCGAATATGCCAGTAGGAAAAAATTACTTATAGTGCCAACAAGCGGGGTATGTTCGAAATGAATAATGTTTTTATAAACCCATCGTCAGCGGCATCTATTGGAGGGCATTTTTAAAAGACCTAGTTGTATCTATATGGATCCATAGTTGTTCTCAGAACAATATGTATATTATATGGAATCACTGAAATGTTACTTTTCAGATTTTTGGAATATTATATTAGTCCGTAAATCTGGAGTTAACAAGTAAAAAAGTGTCTGTCGGTGTTGCCGACACATATGTACTCCCCAGCCTATGGTTTGCGGAGGTCTTCGGAATTACACAAACATTTTATTATTAGCTTTATATACGAAATATGTTTTTATCAAAGAGGTTTCGGAATTTTATAAAATATTGACCATTTGTGAGGGGGTGAGGAGTGGACTACAGGGTCCCATCTTCAGAATTTATATATGGTTGGTAAAGATAATAGGTTGTGCAAGTTTTGGTTGAAATATGACATTCCATTCGCCTGATATTTATAAATATTGAAAATTTATATCATTCGTGGGTGAGATACCAGAATGAATGTACCAACGAGTCCAATCATCGGACTTAATCTAGACATCGTAAAGATAATGAGTTGGGCAATGTTTGGTTCATATCGGACATTCTATTTGCCTGATCTTGGATTCACAAATATTGAAAATGTTCACCATTTGTGGGGGAAGTACCAGAAGTAGTGGACGAATGAATCCCATCGTCCTACTTGATCTAGGCTTGGTAAGGATAATAGTCCGTTTTCATGTTATTATAAAATTAATTTTTAGCACAATTTTTACTATTTGACAGAAAGAGATGTTCAATGGGCCTCATCTTCAAACTTGATCTAGGCTTGGCAATGATAATAGGTTGTACAAAGTTTTTATTTTAAATCGGATAGCCATTTTGGATGTTATTATAAAATTAATTTTTAGCACTATTACCAGAAGGAGTGGACCGATATTCCCCATAATCGAACTTAAACTAAGTTTGGAAGAAATATTAAGATGTGCAAAGTTTGAATGAAATCGGTTATTCCCTTCGAGAGTTATCGTGCGCACCAGCCAGCCAGACACAGACAGACGGACGGACATGTGTAAATCGATTCCAAATTTTCTGAAATGGATTCGGTCCAAAGAAAGATGAGGCACATTTTCACCGGATCAAAGTGTGTATACCCTGATTAGCCATAAGACTGAGGGTATAAAAATGTTCATGTTTCGACATAGTCCCCATCTTCGCAAAACATGTTAGTTAAAGTTTTGACCCACCCAAGGTCCTAGTCGAATTTTCCGACCTAAGTGCCTGTAATTTGACACAGTGTTCCATTTTAAGGTTGCGATTGATTTTAGGAATATTTAATGGTGGAAGGTATCAAAAAAGGTCTTTCTTCAAATCTCATAATCTCCTATTTCAAAACGCTAACTAATTAAGCGAACGAATTCCAAGCGGCTTATATGTGACACAGCAACCTATCCATCATTAAACCATTTAATCAATAAAAGAAACTATCAATAAATTGATATTCTTTGTCTAGTAATCCTTCAAATTCGAGCCATTATTTATACATACCGTACATACATACCCTCCTTTTGTGTGTATGTATGTGTAGTTTTCAGTGTTCGAATTGTGATAAGATGCTATAATTCGCTTGTTATTTATGAACATCGTTTGATGAATTTTATTTCAGTTTTCCAGCACATTTATTTCTCACGCACACACTCACACGAAGACATCAAACACTCACACAAAGACATCCTTCATATGAAACGGTCTGCCAGGCAATAAAGGACACTCAACATTTTTACCACAATTTCCCAAAACAAAGTAGCTGGCGTTGGTTCGTTCGTTCGTTCGTTTGCTCGTTATTCGAAATAGTTGTTGTTTTTGTTTCTTTTGTTTTTGTTGTTGTTGGTTTTCAATCTTATCTTGAATTATTGATGGTCATTTATCACATCATAAATGTATGAATGATGATGGTGATGTTGCTGCTGCCACATTTCCACTGACACTTTGTTGTTGCTGTTACTGTTTTTGTTGCCAGGATATCCTTGTAACATTTGCCATTATTGTCTGTTTTGTTATAGCTGTTGTTGTTGTTGTTCGTAATAAAATAAATGTTTCCAATTAATCTCAATTGCTTTTGCATTTTGCAAAACTAAAAACTGCAGTCAATCACTTGGAAAACTTTTTTTGTTGTCGAACGAGGACTTTTGCAACAAAGAACATATTTACAATAGACACGTGCACACACACGCAAACAGTTAACGATGCATATTCATACACACACTCACACAATATATGTGTGAGCTGAAAAGTTATGGCGGCATACAAAGTTTGTGACACCTTTAAACTATCATCACAATTATTATCCTTTGTATCCTCATCAACGTGGTCGTCATCTTCGTTATTATCCTGGCACTTTCATTTTGCATGTTTGTCACTTCATATGAACAAGGAGTCAATTGCCATTGTCAGCATCATAATCAAGGTGTAAATTTCGAACACACACGCTCACACTCACTCACATTTGCTCTGAAAACTTTAAGCTACGCGTTTCGCGAATGAAAAAACGAAAATAATTTTTAACGTTTGCCACTCGCCACGACATCAGGAGGATACTGATGACAACTGGCGGCAAATATTCATTATAGCTTTTGCCAGCTTCACTTTTACCACCGCTCACCGTGTCTTAGCGTTGCGTGTCGGCGTAAAATAAACTGGCAAATCTCAGTTCTCAATGCTGATGCCAGTGTAAAGGTGTTGAAAATTCGCAGCTGAGATTCGACAAGACGTTGAGACGTGGCCACCAAGTGAAACACTATCAAGTCCGTGTATACTGTTCCGTTATGGGGGTACTTATGGCAAGTGTTGATTGGAATAAAACCGTTGATACTTTTGCAGTTGCTGCCATTGCGTTAATGCAATAGTATTGGTATTCTGTAGGTTTTTTGCGGGTCGTTCTTTCCATCCGGTGGAAATGCCATTTCCACGATCCACTTTGTTTTGGAGATACATGTGTTGTGGGGGTTAGCGTTAGGTTGGATGGTGCACGGTAGATGCTACAGCATCCACATGAATGATGCGAATAAGTGAGTGTGTGTGTATGTCATGGTGGTCTGTATGGAGGAGCATGCGCATTGTTTTTGTTTGTTGTCGGTGAATACCAAAGATACAGCATGGCTTTTGTTTTCATTGTTTGGTATGCATATTTCACATGCACATGAACACATCCATATACATGTATGCATGTACAGGATATTTGTGAAGGATAGTAATCTGATTTTGGGGAGGTATTGTACACTTAAAAAAATTAAAATGGGGTTTTTGAACTAATATGACAGTGGGGAAAAAATAACTAATAATTATTAAAAGCGAATTTGGTAAAAAGCGGGGAATTTTAGCTACATAGAGACTTGGGCACGCAAACATTTAGGTCGCAGACCTTGGACATTCCAACAGGACTCAAAACGCACCTCCCAAGAATGATTACAAAATGAGGTTCCTCGCTTCATATCCAGCGCACAATAGCCACCAAAATCTCCGGACTATTGTGTCTAGAGTATTTTGAAAAGCAATGTTGGCACTAAAAAATACCAAAGTGTCGATCACCTCAAGCAAACGTTTCGCCGGGAATTGGCCAAAATACCGCAAAACACACATTTGGGCAGCGTGTGACGGTTTCATTGGCCATTTGAAGGCCATAATTCGTGCCAAAGGTGACCAATTGGAACAAATCTGAACTTATACTAAAATTTGATGCTATTTCCGACATTTTTTGCTTTCATTCAATAAAATTTTAAATTTGCTTTCATTGACTTTGTTGCAGTTTTTATACCCTCCACCATAGTATGGAGGGCATATTAATTTTGTCATTCCGTTTGTAACTCACCGAAATATTCATTTCCGACCCTATAAAGTATATATTCTTGATCAGGGTAAAATTCTAAGACGATCAAGCCATGTCCGTCCGTCTATCCGTCTGTTGTAATCACGCTATCTTCCGAAGGAATTGAGATAGGGTGCTGAAATTTTGCATAGGATTGTATTTTGTCTGCAGGCAGGTCAAGTTCGAAGTTGGAATATATCGGTCCACGTTTAGGCATAGCTCCCATATAAAGGTACCCCAATTTTCAGTATTTTGGGGTTCTTGAGCGCGCTTTTCAACCGAATTCGCTGAAATTTGGTACATTGGGTTATTATTGGGTACTAAATGCCTCCACAAAAAATTATAAATATAGGTCCACTTTCGGTACCTCCTAATTTACAGTGTTTTGGGGGTTTTGGTGGTATTTTTCCACCGAATTGGCTGTAATTTAGTACTTTAAATTCTTAATAGGTTCCAAATCACTCTACAAAAAATTATGAATATAGGTCCATTTTTTCTGGTAGCCCCCCATATAAGGGTACCCCCAATTTTCGGTGTTTTGGGTTTCTTGAGCGCGTTGGGTATATTTGGTTTTTTTTTTTTGGGTACCAAATATCTCCACTAAACATTATAAATATAATTCCATTTTTTCTGGTAGCCCCCATATAAAGGTACCCCCAAATTTCGGCATTTTAACTCGTTGCTTCCACTCTTAGGAGAAGGAAGAAGTCAGCGGGACCTATAGCCATATACATTAGATTCGCTACCTGTTTAAGGTCACCTGAATCATCGTTGATGATGTTCAATAGCTACTGAGCGATATCTATGCGACTTGGTTTTTGCTCAAAATGTAACAAATTTGATGACATACGTACGTACGTTCAAGCCAAAAACATCCGTCCAAATGGATTGGAAAGGGCGGGGCGATATGCCAATATCTTCAGAAACATCTCTGATACTATTTTCAGCGGTTGTTGACGTACTCAGTCGAGACATCTTCTTCCTTAAACCTATTATACCACACTTGAACATTTGGTATGCTCATAAAGATAATCGAGATATGACGATCGGTATACTTAAAGGTGGGTCTTGGGGCTGCACAAAACCCATAATGCCCTGACAGCATAGCTGTGTTGGGTATGAAAAGAGCTTTATATTTTTGTCCACGTTTTGGTATATAGACCCCATGTTTTCAATCGATTTTGATGTTATTTGGTATATTGGGTTTTAAATTTGATACCCGGTGAAGCTCCCATAAAACCGAATTTTGAATACGCCTTTAAAAAAAATTGCCTCTATATTGATATGTAGGTTTTCAGTAGTTATATAATCTTGTTGTGTCAGAATTTTAGGTGTCTTATCAATGTCGGTTCAGTTTCTGGAATATTCCCTATATTTTTGTACCCGCAATTTTTGACATTTTGAGGATTGCGATGTGGCTGTAATTTGATATTCGGAAACATAGTGAGTGATCAACTTTTTCACAAAACATATTCAATATAAGTCCATGTTTTTACATAGGTCACAAAATTGTCGTTTAACTTGACTTGACCAGGGCAAAGCCTCCATTAAAATTCCCAATTTGTGGGAATTTTTAGCATTTTAAAAGGATATAATTTTACATGTTCGGATCTTAATAGGCACAGCATAGGCGAATAGCCCCCATACTAAAGTTCCAAGCAGGTATGGACATTTTGAATATCCACCTCCTGGTTGAGTTTATAAAATGTTAGGTCCGGCCGTTCAAACCTCGTTTTTGCTTGTTTTCGATTCGGAATGGAAACTAATAATAATTTGATATTTTCGGCGAAATAGTTTATAACGACACCGTTTAGAAGGACATATCGGTTATAGCGACTAATTTCGCCGGTCCCTTGAGTGTCGCAAATAGATTAATTAGCGACATTTCCCCAAGAAATTTTTTGTCATTTCAGGAATATATCATCGACGGATTATAATTGATAAAATCCCAAGTTCGGCTTATCCGAACTTATCGTTGTTTTTACTTTAAATTTGTCACCTTCAAAAGATGTTCCAATTGGGTCACCTTGTGTGGTTTTTGATCAGCACAAAAACTCCGAACGTCATACATTTGCAATTTAAATTCCTTATGAAGAAGACTAGTAATTCCAATCAATAGTCAATGGCACTCTAAACAATACACAAACGAGGATAATTCAAATCCTTAACGAAGCACATGCGATATTTCATGGGACTCCAAGAGGCGATAACGGTATGTACGTTTTTCCACAATTTGCGTTTGAATGTGCGCTGCTTATGGATTCACAGTTCTTTTGCCTTAGATATCGGCAAAATGTCAAAGTTCCATCATAAAGTGGCAGAGCACGTGTTCGTTATAAGCCAAAATCGAAGTAGAAGAAAGTCGAACAAAAAAAACCAAGACTACTATCCTGCGCATCATCACTGTCATCATCCTAGAAATGTCTATCCTTATTGATGTTGCTACAATGCACTGATATCCAAGGACCTGAACAAAAACTGTGTAGGATTCCATAGATTTCAGATGCTGGTGCCATCATGGATCGGGAATGGCGCAAAAAACAAAACGCACAGGAATGGCCGAATTGCGATTTAGAAGAACTCTTTATGGCCTCGACAACGAAGCAACCAACTACAGCAGCATGCATTCCATACACATGTGGCCAAATCTTTTGCGAACAAAATAAAAACAATGCCAACATTCCATTCCAGATGTGCATAAATACAACTGTGGAGAATTTCGCATGAAGGCTGGACGAGATGGAGGAGGAGTAGCGGAATAACGAATCGAGAGAAACCGGTAGCAGGGAATGAACAGCAACTACTAACAGAAAAAGAAGCAGCGAAAAACAAAGCTACGAGAACCATTTTAGTCGACACAATATGGCATGGCAGCAGATTTTGTACACATACCAAAACAAATGTACACGCACACACACACACACACACACATATACACAACTACACTCATAGCGGCAGGAAGGCATTGTTAAACTTTTAAGGGATGAATTTATGTTGCTCTATCCCCTCTGACATCTTATGGCAAGACACTGTCGTATCTGGCAGGCAGACACACAGGACATTTAGCAGAAATTCCAATACCACCACTACTCACACACATACATACATGAACTAACACCATTGCAATTCACGCAGCAAATAATGTGTATATTGGCCATAAAACTACCCTTATGGGGGAATTTTTTGCTAAAAAGAAACATCTTCTATACTGCAGACAAGAAAGAAGGCATCGATTGGAAGGTGAAGGAATCACGTTTCCTCATTTACAGTCACACACACACCAGTGTTCTGCAACAACAAAAATTCCAATATCATGATTGAGAAGTAGGGGAAGTTTTTAAAAATCGATAAATACGTTTGCTGTTGTTGTTTCTAACTTGATGTTGTTGCAATTGTTAACACTATTGGTTTTGCATTTGTATAGCGGGACCTGAAACATACACGCACTCACACACACATATACGCATAAATATATGATTTAAGGACATTCACACATTTTTATGGCCCTACACTGGAAAAAATCAATTCGTTACGCTGTTATCGATAGCCTATTTTTGGGCCGAATGAAATGGAAATTACCTACCTTAAGGGCAAAACGCTTGAAGCAATGTTTTATTATTGTGCGCGCAGGCTAGATAAAGAAATTGGTCCTTGAGAAAAGCAATTAAATAAAATACGTGAGGAACATTACAACTTTTTTTGGTAAGGAAGATGAGAAGTGGAAAAATAAGTACAAAGGCAATAATCGACAGAGCAGGCATCCTACACTTACACACCTTTGGCTTAAAATAGTAAAATAAGCTTAGCCTTCACTGATTGCAGGGACCACAGCGACCAGTTTCGATTCGACAGAAGACAAGTCGATAGTGATCATTCCTCAAAGTTATAATAACCACGGGACAAATTCGAAGCCAAGTTTGTAGAATTTTACTATAATTTTCACAAAGTTCAGATAAGATGGATTGCCGACGATTTTGTGAAATTTTAGAAGATTTTCGAAGCTCAGTTTTTAGATTTTTATACCGTCAGCCTGTCCTAAGGTTGAGGGTATAAAATCTAAGGGTACATACACTTTGATATGTACAACAATGCGCCTCATTGAAATATTGTTTTTAGAACCCATTTTTCCTAGGACCAAATCCGTTTCAGACAATTTGGTTTCGATTTACAAATGTCCATCTGTCTGAGTGACACATGATAACTCCCGAAGGAAGTAACCGATTTCATTCAAAAACTGCACATCGTAATTTTTAACGGACTTTACGGTTTGAAGTAAACATTGCACAACCGAATTTTATAATCATGACTGTATAGTATTAAAATATGGGACTTATCCACCCAATCTTTCCAGCAACTCCCCCAGCGAATCGAATGTCCGATTTGACCCAAACCTTCTTAATAACCTATCCGAGTTGAACTAAAATTTTCACAACCTAATATTATAACCATTACTGTATAAAGTAGAAAGATGGGAGCCGCCGGTCTACTTCTTCTGGCACCTCTCCACAAAGGGTCAATATTTCTAGGACTTGTACATACGTTATTGCATTTAACATTTTAATACATATTTTACAAAACAATTATATATGCAATATAAATAACAATAATATAAATGTACTAGCTGACCCGGGCAAGCGTTGTCTTGCTTTCAATTTAATTTACACTGCAAGTCATGTCAGATTTATATTTTCAAGAAATACGGATTACTGGAGCAGAATATTGCGCTACCTATCGGACGAACTTCAAATTACACAGAAATACCTCTTACGCCCTATAAACCATGTAAATACAGTTTGGTCAAAATCGGTTCAGTGGTTTTTGAGTTACGATGAAAAATATAGTTCCATCTGTCGGATTATGTTCAAACTATACAGAAACACTCCTCACGCCCCCAGAGCGTGTACATAAAGTTAAA